TGTCACTTTGAGGACGCTCACAAGTTGACCACTCTCCCTACCAACGGTCGCCAAAAAACTGGCCCAGGTCACCGCACAACAAAACGTGCAGGCAGATACCTTCCCAAGTGTAACGCAAACAAATAAATATATTGCGTGGCTCAAATAAACTAGATGAGAATCGAACTCAGAAAGAGTAGCGCAAAACTGGGCCCATAAAATTGCAGTAAAATCATAGTCAGGAACAATTGCTGCAAAGCTTGGTTAACCACGTAGCCACAGTCGCTGCGTTTCTTGTGTTACCATGACCACATCTACATTTTCAACAAATTCCTCGGCAAACATCTGGTCACGTGTCGCAGGAAGAACCGGCACGCCCGGCCAGCTATAGCCGCGTCGTTAAGCCCCTCACATGGACAGCAGTCGCCACACGGCGTGGTCACGTTTGATCTCGCGATGCCGCTCGCCATATATAGAAAAGGTTCCCTGCGTGGCCGCAAAAGGCATTGAGGCCCCTAATAGCCCTACGTGGTACGGGCCCACTTCACGGCAATCTTCACATATATAAATTATCCGTTACCGCCTCACCTCTCTCATTTACCGTGCCTCTGCATCCCATTCATCTGTCTTCGTCCCTGTCCAAGCCATCCCTCCGCATCCCATCCATCTGTGTTCGCTCTTTCACAAGCTATCCCTCCCGTCAGGCTACCACTTATCACGTGACAGCTCTGTTCCATTGTTTTGTACCTTCAAATTACAATCTTTTCCGCTCCGAAATGACTTCAAACGATTTCATCATTGTGTACAGCGGCCTTCTCGACCAGGCCGTCTGTACTGGTGTCAAGTGCGGGTATGCCCACGAAGTTGCTATCGTGAAGATTTATATGCGCGGCGGGGCAAACCATGGAGCTGGCGATGAAGAAGGCCAGGGAGTCACTCAAGAGCAGAAAAATCCAACATTCAGGAGCAGAAGGACAATAGCTGTATGGAAGGCGTTATCCCTTACCGTCTCCGAAAGAAGTATATCGAAACGACTGATGCCATGTACGTCCCTGGTGAGGGATGCAAGGTTGCTGCATTAATTCTCGTTGCCTCGACGCACGCTGCAGAGAGAATGAACGTACCACGATCGGTAATGAACTCTCGCATAATTGCACTCAGCACGTGGGCTGTGCATTCTTGCGCTACGACGCGATTAAACCTGACCGCAGATGAGTGCTGCGGATCGGCCGCGGCATAGCCGAAAAACGTAAGTACCACCAGAAGAAGAACGTGTACCCCCGCTGGAGGAAATGTATCGGAAACGGAAGGTGGAAGTTGAGGGAACGATTCCCGCGTCAACCCCATCGCGAGCGATGACGCATGGGAAACTCGAGTTTCATCATTGTACGGCCGACGGCACGATGACCAGTCAGTGGGACACAGCGAACGTCCCGTCATGCGCATCAAGCTAGCGGTTGCACGTATCAACTGCAGACGCGTGTCGGGGTAGCAGGCGGGGCAGGGGTGCATATACAACGTTGCCATTTCCGAGAGAGGAAAGACGTTCGAGTCCGGATCCGTGTTACCAAAGAGCAGACGTGCTGTTTTGTCGACGTACTCGACTTCTTCGACGGAAAACGCAAACGTGCGATCGCAAGGTATTTCATCAGGGACCTGGTACGCGTGCCCGCGGCCAAAGTAAGACCCCCAAGCCGCGGCCACGGCTTCTGGCACACTACGAAACGCCATGACTTGAAAGCGGCGAAGGTCCGGACGAGGATGCGACACGGTGAGGACTTCTGATAACGTAACATGGACTCAGGGGAGCAGTTCCCACTCGTATGCCAACGTGGCCTTGTGCAGAGAGGGACCGTCTCCATTGGAACGACCAAGCCATTTTGACGACGACGCGAATCGCTCCAGGGACGCTCCGGGCTCGACGCCCTCGTACGGGTACCCAGGTACAGCGCATCTCCCTGTCGTTGCGTACGGCGGTGAGGGAGTGTACCATTCGTAACGACGCAACGTGATCAGTCCACCGGGACTCGTCGTGTAAACGCGACCGGACGCTTCTAGTGCTGATATCGTGGGCCGATCGACAACTTGACTCGGGAGTGGCACAGGCGCTTCGACGGCTATTGTTACGACTGGTTTTAGGATGTCATCAACATTTGGCGAATTTTGCATGGTTGGTTCGGAAACCTGGACCCCCGGCAGAGGGGCGACCCGCGGTTCGTCAGCGGCATTGGTTGGACTCGTAATGTCCTAGAACTCGCCCTTGAGAAAACGAGTGACAGCATCACCCGGTGGTGATGGCATCGTGCTTCGTTTCATATAACGACGACAACGGTGATGGTGCTGCCTATGAAAAAAATCACGAAGATGTCGCCTCCGCCTCTATAAGTAGCAAACCGGTCGCTTCGCCATACGTGTTGAGTCGGGACGGTCAAGCTGGGATGAGAGCCGTGTAGCATAAGGACGCGTGTCCTATCTACACAAAAATACTGTCCGCGAGGAAACGTCAACCACGTGGCAAACGTTATGACAACGACTGTCATTTTTCGGATCCGTCTAATGTTGCGTGTAAGGCGAACGACCCTTACAGTACCTCGAGTACTGTACGGTAGCGCAACGGCGCAAATAGTCGTTACGAAGTCTCCTCTGCATTGGCGCCGTTACGCTTTACGGTGTAAGAAGTACAGTATTACGTAGTTAAGAAGGGAGGCCGCTAGGGGAATGAAGAGGGAACCATCGACAGCACACGGAGGGTTAGTGTGGTCAAGTCCGACCCCTAGTCGTCTACGTTTTCCTTTCTTTTTCGTAGGTCTTTTGGCCTTTTGCCCTTTCGTTTTCCTGCTACGTTCCGAAAACCCACTCGAGGGTGAGTCACTACGACAGCGGGACTCCGTGCCAGGATCCAGACTCCGCGTCGTCGCCCTGACTGCAAGGGCGCCGAGTCACGCGTCGACCCGTCAATCTGCCAGCCGTTGCTCGTTGGGGTGTCGAACCCATTCAAGACTCTACAACGCCACCAGGGACACGTTCCCATTGGCTTATTGGCCCGTACGCCCGGTAACATCGCACTTCGAGCTACAGTATACGCCCTGAGCCCGCTCCCGCCTTCGTGCTTGGTTGAGCGCTGGGGTGTTGTACTACAGTTTTGCCAGCAGTAAACATTCTCCCTGTCCATGACTGCTTGAAGTGTCCAACCTGTGGTTATATCGCTCTGAAAACTGACAGTCCGCTAGCATATGACCTCCCTGCCGTACTCGAATCGCACAGTTCAGGATATTCGTCCCGTCAAGGCCCAGTCGATCTTCGGCGGGAACAAGCGCAAGATTTTCGAAGTGTTCCAGAACAATGACCCCCCTACAAGATCTTGCATCCTGTCCATCACGATGAGGAACCTGCGTGGCTCAAACCCCGCTGACTTGGGTGCGGGTGTTTCGGCCATGGACTTTTTCCTGTCGGTAATGCGCTTTGATAGGCACTTGAATGCCTGTGACTTATCGATGGAGAAGGCTCATAACCTTTGCTTTCTGGAAGACCAAGCTAAACGTTCTTCTTTTCGAAAACTCGTTCCCGAATACCACAAGTTTGTTTCTGATATCACTGAGAGGAAAATGTACATCAAGACACATACATTTCTGAACTGAACCCTTTCGCTGGCAGTGGAGGAGAAGACTATGGACCACTATGACTCCCGCGCGTCCAGACTCATTGCCTTCGTACGGAACTCGTACCAGGAGGGCAACGCAATGCGCAAACATTTCTCGCTAGACATCATTAATGCAATCGAGGGGATGTTCAGCAATCCATCCTAACAATCCCCTCTGCAGCAGTTGCACTCTTTACTCTACGGCCTGCTCTTCAGTCCCCTTCATGATCACAATGACAGTGTAGTTGTCTTTGTACTTTTTAATCTGTGATTGCAGGGGACGGTGGCAAGACTTTTCGCTTCCCAAATGCGAGTGATATGCCACCCATTATGGCAGCAATTACGCATTTCGCCCGCTGCGTCGTCGTGATAGACGTCTAAAAGTGCCGTGACAAAGACACTACTTTAGGCTGGGACAACATAAACAAGGCTACCGGCTCAAACACAGACAATGGTATACGTTTCGTCCTGTACTGTCTATCTGTTTGTCACTGCCTCCGAGACGGCGAAAATGTCAAGACAGGCTTCACCCTATGCCCAAAGCATGAGCTTCGTGGCATTGTTGATGGGGTGGAGTTGTCCGTGCTCCAGCTTGGCCGCAAGTCGAAAGGGTTCCAACGGAAGGCGTGTATTCTTCTCGATAGCCACCTGTTGAATGGTTTGAAGATTACTCTACACTTCTGGTATTCCTGTATAGAGATGCAGGACAGCCTCATCGCCTTGACGCCTTCCTACTGGTTTGGTTCGCACTATGCAAACAAACATGTGACTGAATTCTGGTCGGGCAAACTTCTAGAGTAGTACTTTCACGTGCTCGGTGGACACGTGGACAAGCTTTTGGGTTGTTTGACATACTTTCAAAGTTTCGGTTGGTTTTGGGGGTTTGACTTAGAGGTTCTAATTGACGATCTGTCTGCGTCAGGTTGGGGGCTCCGGTGGTTAGTCGGTTGTTGTGCCTGCCTCTCCAACTCCCCGTAGCTCCGGATCGGGACCTTTATAGAACTCTAGAATTTGAGTACTCTTCAGGTTGAATAGCGTAGACTACAATAGAAATAAACTTTCCCATTAAAATTCTCACTACATGACCCCATCTGGCTACATCTTTGCTTTCCCTCCATCTTGGCGTGGTCGTCCTCGCCTGCAGGATCCCCTAAGAATCCCGCTAAGGCTGACCGGGTCGTCCTCGGGGACTCTTTCTTGCTATAGAGTCCCCATTCTGCTGGCGAAGAGGACGACTTCACGGTCGGGGTGAGCACTGTAGTGCACGTGTAAATTACTGTACGCGTCACATACATCGTCACCGTCCCGCTCAGCTCCTGTTTACAGTCTGTCAAGGAGCTGAGCCGGAACCTAATCTTACAACTGCTCCCTTTTCAAACGATTATTCGTCCGCGAATAAGTGATCATTGTACGTTTGCATGAGTTGTTGTGTGATTGCAGGGTCATCCTTGTCTATCCATGTATCGTCAAATGGATTGGTGTTCCTGAAGTGCACAAGGAACTGTACTTGTCCGTCGTATATGCGGTGAGTGATGATTCTTTCAATGAGTTTCTTGTCTGCGGTTGTATGGATCTTGAACTTGGTGGGTTCTTGTTGTCTGTTCGGGTCTTCTTGGTATGGTTTCAAAAGCGATATTTGAAATTTTGGATGAATATTTCGGTATTGAAATGGTAGTTCTAATCGGTATGCAGTTCCACTTGCTAGGACTTCCAATACTGTGAATGGTCCGATGTATTTCGGAGCGAACTTCTTGGTTCTCCCTGGATTGATTGGTAGATTCTTGGTTGTTAGCATAACTTTGTCGCCTTTCTTGAATGTAAATTGTTTTCGATGTTTATTAATTGTGTCGGCGCTTCTTGCGTTGGCTTGGTTGATTGATTCTTTTGCGAGTTTAGTTGCAGTGTCGAGTTCCTGAAGAAAACGATCTGCAGAGGTGTTTCTTGAGTGCATGTTTTCGTTTATATCTGAATGAATCATATCAGATATTGCGAAAGGGTGTTGACCGTACTCTAAAAAGAATGGTGTTTGCCGAATAGTATCGTTGACATGATTGTTGTATGCAAATTCTACTCCTGGTAAATAATTTTCCCAGTCTTTCTGAGTGTAGGTTACATAACAGCGTAGCATTTCCTGAAGTGTGCGAAATGCTCTTTCAGACTGTCCATCAGTCTGTGGGTGAAATCCTGTTGAGAAGTTAAGTTTAACTTGAAGCATTTTCATAAGTTCAGTCCAAAAGGACCCTGTGAATCTTGTATCTCGATCTGATATTATTTTTGGCAGTAGTCCATGTTGTTTGTAGATTTCTTTGTAGAACGTTGTTGCTATGGTTTTGGCGCTGTTGTCTGATCCAAGTGGTATAAAGTGTGTTCGTTTTTGATAGTTTATCTACAACGACCATAATTGCGGTTTTGCCGTCCATCGTTTTAGGTAAATCGAATATGAAGTCCATTGAAATGACGTCCCATTTCTTAGTTGGAGGTAGAAACGGTCTTAGGTTTCCAAGTTGGTTCTGAGTTGAGCTCTTTGCCTCTTGGCATTTAAGGTATTTTCACGTAATTGTGGATATCTTTCTTCATAGTTGGCCAACAGTAATCCCTTGATATAAGTGAAGTCGTTTTATTACTTCCTCTATGCGATCCAAAATATTGATTCGTGGTTATCTTGCAATGTAGTCTTTCGGAGTTCTCCTTTTGGGATGCATAGCCTTTTTTCGAAATACAACTGTTGTCCCGTTTTTGTATAGACTCTACTGGATGCTGGAATTTTTCTTTGAACGATTCGTCGTTCTCATAGTCTTCTTGTAGATTCCGTAATGTTTCTTGGCTTACATTCACCATTGTGAATGCCATTAACTGTTTTACTATATTTGATGATGTATGATGTACTTCTCTATATTGTCGTGATAGTGCATCAGCTACGACGTTTGATTTTCCCTTGATGTAATCAATAGAGTAGTCGAATTCTTGCATGAATTCAACCCATCTTGCTTGTCTTCTAGATAAAGTTTTCTGTGTATCCAGATATTTTAACGGATGATGATCAGTCATGATCTTAAATTTAGAACCATGTAAGTATGGTCTCCACGTATGCAGGGCGTAGATGATAGCTGACAGCTCTCGCTCATGCGTACTGTATCCTTGCTCTGCTGGGTTCAGTTTTCTAGAAGTGTATGCCACAGGACGACATCCGGATTCGTCGGTTTGGGTCAGTACCGCTCCGGCACCTGTTCGAGATGCCTCTGCAGTTAGTTGATATGGCAGATTTGGATCTGCGCATCTTAGCACTGGTGCGTCTGATAATCGCTGCTTTAGCTCCTGAAATGCTAAGGCTTGCGGCTTTTCCCATTTGAAGCGATTATTTTTTCGAGTAAGATTTGAAAGAGGGGTCGCAATTGTTGCGAAATCTTTTACAAAACTTCTGTAGTAATTACAAAGTCCTAGAAGCTTGGCACTTGTGTTGCGTTTTGTGGCGCTTTCCAGTTTTTCACTGCTTCAATTTTTTTTGGGTTTACTTGAATACCGTCTTTGCTAATGATGTGTCCTAGGTATTCAATGTTTTGAGAGAGAAATTCACATTTTCATAGCTTCCCAAACAGCTTGTGTTCTCTCAATACGTCTAATACTGTTTTGAGGCGTTTCACGTGCCCTTCTTTCGTTTTGCTGTAAACAAGTATATTGTCGAGATATACAAGAACAAATTTGTCTAAAAAGAGCCTAAATATGTTGTTCATTAATGTTTGAAAACATCCAGGTGCTCCCGTTAGGCCCAATGGAGTGACCAAGTATTCCTATTGTCCGTACCTCGTCCTAAAAGCAGTTCTTTCTATGTCTGAGTCTTTCAGCCTTATTTGATGATATCCAGAACTAAGATCCAGCGTCGAGAAGTATTTAGCTCCACCGACTTGATCCCATACTGCATCAATTCTTGGTAATGGAACCTGATTTTTTATCGTTTGTTTGTTCAATGCTCTGCAATCTATACACATCCGGAGACTTCCATCTTTTTTAGGTGTAAATAGTACTGGACTTCCCCAAGGGCTTATGCTTGGTCTGACAAATCCTAGGGATAGAGCCTCCTCAATCTGTTTTTTCATTTTTTCAAGTTCTTTTCTTGAGAGCTTATAGATTAGGCCCATCTTGGGTTTTGCATCTTTCTCCAAATCTACATCTCCGCTACTAACTATGCCAAATTCTCGACATCGTCGCAAACCTCATCACGTATCGGAACGACAAACATCTACCGCTTTTCCCTGTGCTACCCAGGCTTCTCCCTCTCCTACCCAGTACGAGCCCCTCCCAAGTCTTAATTCGTAGAAATGTTTAGGTATATGCAACGTTTCGTACTCCCTGACCTCTCTCTCTTTTCCTCTTCTCTTCTTCCTCAGCGTTTCGTATCCCCGAAACCACCCCTCGTCGTTCATACCTCTCCCCTCTAATGTTTCCCGTTGTCTGCTGACTTCGAGCGCGATGACTACGCCTTCGCATGCCGCCGCTTTCATGAGCCACGAGCCTCAGGTGCCATTGTATCCCGCACTTAGGACGTTGTCTGTTGGCTTCTATTCAGTTCCTCTCATGCTTGTGTGTCTGCATTGCAAGAGTGGCGCTCCCAGCGTTAGAGCCTTGGGGGAGCACTTGCGCAACGTGCACGAACTCTCTCCGCCACTGGCGACAGAGATGGCCTCTGCAACTGAACAAGCTCTTACGCTCCATCGAGATGCCGTTTCCGATTCTTCGGTGAGAGAGGAATATCTTCAAGCCCCGCGGTGCCTACTGGAATCAGACATACCTTTATCGTTGAAGGTCTTCCCACCTTTGCACGGCTTCTCAACACGACATGCGTTTTCTGCCCATTTTTTGTTTCCTCTTATACGAGCCCGCATCATTTTCGAAAGCACTACAACGAAGCCCACTCACCCCAAGCCATGGCTGCAAAGTCGGGTACTGATGTTGACTCCATCATCCGACGCGGCGGTATTCGAGCTCAATCCCTCTCTTCCGGAGCGCTGGAAAGTACTTTCCCGTTACAAACGAGGAACCAATCGGCGAAATCGTTTCCGTCACCGGAGTGGTCACGAAACTTGCTCAGTCGCCACCGTCGCATGACGCCTTTATAGGGACACAAAACGTTTCCAACCCACCTACGGCGTCTCCCAAATCAATGGATACGGCGTCTGATTCAACATTGCGACCCCTCCACCCTTCTTTCATTCACCTCCAGCCCAAGGCGGCAGCAGTTTTAACACGCCTCACATCGACTGCATCTGCCACAACAGCAGCTCGCTTTGGTCTCCTCGATGAGAAAGATGATGAAGATACCGGAATCTCCCGCAGAAACACTTTCATGTCCATTACGGAGTTCGACGACTCGCTTCGGTCTCTTTCCCTCACGCCTGAGAAGGCTGCGTATCTCACCGGAGCTCTTCGCACCCCTGCAGATGACAGGCACTTGACTATGCTGGGAAATGGCATCTACCTTTATTTCGAAAGCTTGAGAGACGTCGTCAGGAATCTCACACACGGCTTTCGTCAGGCCATCAATCTCCATGGCACTGCGCCTTTCCGAAGAATTCAGCCGAAACCGGAGCGCAAGTACGCAGCAAAGTGGCCCGCCTTCTCCTGTTTGCGCATCGTACCGTTGGAAAATGCTTCTCCCGCCACACCGTTGGAAAATGCGTCTCCCGCCACATCAGCAGTAACGCTGTTGAAGCACTATTCCAAGAGCTCAGTCGACAGAGGCATACAATCCATTCGTTGTCTTCAACTCTGCATGCCTGCCTTCATCATGCCTTATCGAGCTTGCTTCTCGTCCGATTCAGACACGTTGACCTTTTAACATGCTTTGCTGTCCGTAACTTCGTCGTTGCTGCGTCATGCAGCATGGACGGCCCGTGGTCGTTGACGAATCTCTTTACACATACCGCTCCACAAACGATTTGGGCCGTTCGTTCAGGTTGGCAGACGCCAGCGATGTAAGTCATCTTTTGGGCGCTCTTTAGTGTGCCGTCTCCATGACCGCATCCCATGAGTTACATCATCTTTCCATCCGCCAAGAATCTGCCGATGATCCCAGTAGAACTGCAGACAACACTCCGGTAAAAGAAGATCCAGCCTCGACAATCATTGCAAAGGTTGAACAAAAGGCCAACACGGCAACAACTTTTATTCGAAAGACTTTGGACATCGCCATGTCCATCACCAAGCGGGAGGAGGTTCCCCCGTCTTTCGAAGTCCGCTCCATACATAAGCCCGATCCATGCAGAATTATCAAGTCTCACCACTTGTCAATGCCCCTTCTCGGCACGATTATTAGGGGATTGCATTCCAAGTTTGACAAAATATGGACGGAAGACCTGCTCATCGGGTCTGCTCTTCCAGATGGTTTTGTTTCAACTGTAAACTCCCTGCATGACGACCCCTCAAACCGTACAGCCGGCTTTTCTTTTCTCCCCTCGCTCACACACCATGCGTCTTGGGTTAAGTCGAATCTTGTACACCTTCTCCAAGCCCTTCGAAATCCGGGTGAAGATTTCATTGCTCGGTTCCCTTGTGTTCTCGCCTCAACTACTGCACCAAAACAGCCTAGTGAAAATGAACACTCCGACAGGTCCTCGTCCGGCCCATCCGTGGCCACCTCAAAAATTCGCTTCGTTCAAGTCGCTGAATATGTGGCGCACAAAGGTCATTCGCTTCCTGTCAAATTGTCAGCTGATACAAGAGCTGTCATTGTGCATGATACATTTTTCATCCGGCTCTCCTGGGAGCGCTACTGAGATACGAACGTTCCGCATCCATACCTGAGAAGGTCGCATGCGAAATTTATTCATCGGACAACATTCCGATGTTACACTTCATCCTGGTTACTCCAAATCACGTGCCGCATTAGGCTACATTCGCCTTCTATACCGCTTTCCGGACCGGCAGTCGTCTTTCCGATTGCTATCTTACTTGGCAGTCATTTGCCCTCTCGAGTGTGAGATGATCAGAGCTCTCCAAAGTGATGCTGAGATGAAGTTGCACTGGGACTTTCTCTTTGCTGACCAGGGCAAGCTTTTTACACCCACGAGAATTAGAAACGTCATTGCCTCTACTCTCCAGTCCCACAATAAAAATGATGGTTAAATATCGTTAAGCGATGGGACCAGTTTTCACGTGCCTCGTGGACACGTGGACTGGTTTTGGAAGGTTTGGACTTACTTTCGAAAATTCTTTGCGATGCACGCATCGCGAGTCCTAGACGTTTCCGGGGAAAGAAAAAGGAAACAAAAATAAAGGTTTCTATTGCAATTCCTGAAAAATATTGAATACATTACAGTATTGGGGTGTGACTGTACAGTATAAACCTTTCAGGCGGGTTGGCACCAAGGCTTCGGTTCAACTTATGACCTGAACAGTATCCAAGGGTACACCTCTGTGAACAGCCGTGCGGACAGCCCCACCCCGTTCCCCTCACAAAGAGAAGTGAGAAAAAAAGAAACAAAAAAGAAAAATTTATTACAGAAAAAAAAGTTCAGCACCACCCCGTTCCCCTCACACCCCGTTCCGCCCAAAAAAGAAACAGAAAAGAGAAGTTTATTACAGAAAAGAAATTCAGCACCACCCCGTTCCCCTCACACTCCGTTCCCCTCATATAGAGGAGTGAACACGTGTACTTTACTACTTTACAGAACAGAAAAGTTCAGCACCACCTCGTTCCCCTCATAAAGAGAAGTGAACACGTGTACTTTACTACTTTACAAAAAAGTTCAGCACCACCCCGTTCCCCTCACCCCCCGTTCCCCTCGCGGCTGCGCGGCTGCTTGGCGTGTGTGTCGGCTCAGGGGCGGGGGCCTGGCGTGGGTGTCGGCTTGGCGGCGGGGGCTTGAAGTGGATGTTGACGCCAGGGCAGGAGCTTGTCGTCAGTGTCGGCTTGGCGGCGCGGGATTGGCGTGGATGTTGGCGCCGCAGCAGGAGCTTGGCGTTAGTGTCGGCTTGGCGGTGGGGGCCTGGCGTGGATGTTAGCTCCGCGGCGGTAGCCGGGCGTGTGTGTCGGCTTGGCGGCCGGGGCTTGGTACGGGTGCCGGCTTGGCGGCGGTGGCTGGGGGTGTATGTTGGCGCCGCGGCGGCAGCTTGGCGTGGGTATCGGCTTAACGCCAGGGGCTTGACGTGGATGTTGGCGGCGCGGCGGGAGCTTGTCGTTGGTGTCGGCTTGACGGCGAGGGCTTGGTGTGGAGGTTGGCGCCGCGGCGGGGGCTTGCCGTGTGTGTAGGCTCGGCGGTGGGAGCCTGGCGTGGGTGTCGGCTTGGCGGCGGGGGCCTGACGTGGATGTTGGGGCGGCGGCGGCGGCTTGGCGTTAGTGTCGGCTTGACGGCGAGGGCTTGGTGTGTATGTTAGCGCCACGGCAGCTGCTTGGCGTGAGTGTCAGCTTAGGCGGGGCTTGACGTGGATGTTGGCGCCGCGACGGCGGCTTGTTGTTGGTGTCGGCTGGGGGGCGGGGGCTTGGCGTAGGTGTCGGCTTGGCGGCGGGGGCTGGACGTGGATGGTGGCGCCAGGGCAGCAGCTTGGCGTTAGTGTCGGCTTGGCGGCGGGGGCTTGACGTGGATGTTGGTGCCGCGGCGGGGGCTTGCTGTTGTTGTGGCCTTGACGGCGGGTTATTGGCGTGGGTGTCGGCGCCGCTGCAGCGGCTTGCTGTGTGTTTGCTTGGCGGGTGGGGCTTGGCGTGGATGTCGGCTTGGCGGCGAGGGCTTGATATGGATGTTGGCACCGCGGCAGCAGCCTGGCGTTTGTATGGGCTTAGCGGCGGGGGCTTGGCGTGGATGTTGGCGCCGCGGCAAGAGCTTGGCGTGTGTGTCGGCTTGGCGGCGGGGGCTTGGTGTCGGTGTCGGGTTGGAGGGGGGGGTATTGGCATGGATGTCGGCGCGGCGGCTCTGTAGGCTGTGAGATGTGTCTTGCCAGATTCGTCGCAGATGTTTATGTGGTAGTTGTTTCTTGTCGCCACAAGAGTTCACGT